AACCTTTACACGCATCAAGGAGAAGGCAGATTACATGAGTGGCGCAGACACACACACACACACACACACACACACACACCATAGGCCGTGATTCGCATCACAGCGCATTGCGAGTGGCACTTGCGCCGGGCTGACAGTTTCAGGCCCATCACAGCCACCTACAGCCCGAACGGCGAACCATATGGGAAAAAAAAAATCAGTCGTGATTTCGAATGTGAGACTGACACGTGTGATGTGCCTAGTGTGTATGTGTGTGTGAGACTGACGTGATGTATGTTATGTGTGTGACACTGACATGTGATGTACCTAATGTGTGTGTGACACACTGACAGATGTGATATACCTAGTGTGTGTGTGTGTGTGTGTGACACACTGACAGATGATATACCTAGTGTGTGTGTGTGTGTGACACTGACATGTGATGTAGCTAATGTGGGTGTCGTGTGTGTGTGTGTGTGTGTGTGTGTGTGAGAGAGACTGACACGTGATGTACCTAAAGTGTGTGTGTGTGAGACAGTGACAGATGTGATATACCTTATGTGTGTGTGTGTGTCTACGTGACTCTGGCACATACAGTATATGTACCTAATGTGAGAGTCGGATTGATCTTTTCCTTTACACTGATAGCTGTGAGGTGTCTTTTCATCTTCATTTTATTCTACGGTGAGGAGAGTGGAGCAGAACAATCTCACTTCAAAGCTCTGGAGCTCCAAACCGCACACACCGCCACACATTCCCGACAGGCTCCCGCCTCGAGGTCTGCCCAGCAGAATCATCAGCGCTTTCACCACGGCCTTGACTCATTACAGATACGTTTTATTGTGTTTCAAACCAGACTTCCAAAATTCAAGGTTTAAATAGCAAATCAAAACATTTAGCAACCTCACCGGTTCCCTAAAGACCTCTGGCCTAATTTTAACCCTATCTTGAATTCTAATTCTCACGCAGGCCTCCTCTGTGACATTACTGGCCTACAAAATTGATCATGAATGCACCACAGTCCAGCACATACAGAATAACTGGTCGGAGAGCAGAAGCAGATGTGTCATCAAAGCATAGAAGAAACATTACAATGTGCTTGGTTTTATAATGTATTATAGGCCGTTTAATAAAACTTCTTATGGTTGCTTTGACAACTGCCAATTTTGCAACATTTCCTGGTCAGGGTTGGGGAAGAGCAGAAGTTCAGAACTGCTCTTCTGATGGCCCATCTGCTCTTCCAGTTATATTTCATTCAGATACGCTTCGCTTTGTATTTAACCCCAGCTGACAGGAGCAGTCTCTCAACTCTGCACTTCGTCTCCAAATGCTCCTTTCCTAAGTAGTTGGATCTCTCTTTTTAACAAAAAAAATTATGAATTTATGTTTGTTCAGTGTTTTATTCAATCAGGTAGAATATATAGAACTTTCTGTTGAATTAAAGCTGGCAAAGTATGTAGTTTATGAAAAGGGTGACCATGAAATTGAAAAGACATGTTTCTGGACCGGAGTTGCATTGACTGGATGTTGAGCAGAGACTTGTAGGTAATACTCTGGTGTGAGATTAGACTGACGTGTAGTTTTGGATCGATGTATCACTATAGTGTGCATTGGGATGGGCAAACTGCACATATATGTAAGGTTTTTATTTTTTTGATACCTTATTGATCCCCATGGGGAAATTCTCTTTTTGCCTTCTCCGTCTTGCTCTCCGTAGACCACACACTGACCCCCAAGTCAGGTTTGAAGTCAGATATCATACAGTATGTTCTCTGCATGCGCTAGCAGCGATGGTACACTGGAATTGCCTGTGTCTGTGTGTGCCTTGTGAGACACCATTAAAAGTTTTTATTTTCTAACCAGGGTAATTTCTAAATGCATGCAATATTAAGGGTATGCTCTTTCTCCTCTAACCATACGATACCTGAGAATCTATGACTTAAAGTTTTGTTTGTTTACATAGTTAAAAAAAAAAAATTAGAAGGGCTGGTAAATCCATGGTAATGCTTCCACCCACAGTCCCTCTGCTGGTGTGATGGTGAATGTTTCACTGTCTGTAGGAACATGGCAGCACCACTGCTCCCTGTGGTGGCACTCGCTGCACGTCACAGAGACGTCCGTCGGGACCATCTGCTGCCTTTCTCAGTGTCTCTCCAGTGTGCCGGCATGTGTCCCCATCTTGTGACGTATTTATCGTGTGTCATGGGTGTTTCGCTTGAAGGTCACGTCATTTTTTTGAGAAATACAGCTGTGGCATAGGCAGGCCTGCCACTTTGCTTGTGTTGCAGGAAGCGGGGCGGCGTTGACGGCTGCGGCTCGTCAGCGAGGGCTTCCTTTGTTTCGCTGGCCGGCGGCTTGACGGCTCCTCGCCAACGTCTCTTCAAGTTCTCCTCGACTCCTGGGGGATTTCGCTGGCCTCTGCGTCAGAGCGTATCGGGGGTCTGTCGCCGTCTGCGATCCCGATTTAATTAAGCTCTCCAGACTGAGCCGAGCGTGTGTTTGTGTCCATGTGCATAAGCTTGAGTTCCTGTGAGTAAAGTCGTGCATCTGCATGCTGTCTGTAACCGGCGCGACACAGCTCAGCTGAAACCATGGCAGCAGCACCACAGACAGCTGTACTGGGCTTTAATACAATGCCACACTGGGAACTCGTACTCCTGGAAGCTCAGAGCCATCCCAGCACAGGATAGCAGCAGCTAAGACTATAATCAGCCCCCATTAGGTGAGGTGGAAGGACACAAGCAACATAAATCCTGGATCCATGGAGATGCTCAGTGGTTCATAGTACTCAGTGATTCTTCTCGTTCACTCCCCTTCCATCTTGTGTATTCCCACGGTTCAGAAGGTGCTGGCCTTATAACCGGGGCGGTACTCGCGCTAAAGGAAACAAAAATAATCACATGACTCTAAAACGCTACTCTAGATCCGGATGGACGGAGCAACAACAAATGCCGATAGAGTTGAACAAGTTTATTATAATAAAGAACGACAACTGAAATGACCGGCACAATAAATAGGAAAAGCTTATCCCCAAAAGAAAAGAAAGGATGTTCTGTACTTCATATGACCGATAGTCAGCAGTTCCAGCGTATCTGAATCCTGTGTGGAAGAGAGGGTGGCCGCCCCAGTCCAAAGCCGGGACGATGGGGCCGGGCTCCGGTGCCAAGGCGAAGCAGAGGCTGCGCGTTCACAGGTCTCAGTACCAGCTCGCTATTATTTTTCGATGTCGCAAAAAACCAATCTGTAGTGCATATAGTAAGCAATTCAACTAATTCAGTACGAATGAGACCTCATTTCCCAAACAGTTCAAGGTTAAATGTTTTGAAGTATTTTTATATCAACAAAAACAACTTATTTTGTAATAAACAAAATAGCTATATCAACATGAATCCGAAATAGTGCAGAAAGCATCCGACAGTGGTGTAAAATTACTGACAATCCATATCTATGCACTGCACAAAGTTTCACAAAACAATAAAAAATATACAATATAGCCTACTTGTACAGCGGTTTCCCAACTTTTACTCCGATTGGTTTTACACTTAAACATATGGCCCTGTTCACACATACATTACTTTTCAGGCCCCTATTAATATAGCTGAAACCCCACAGCGTTTAGCTCACAAGAGCTCGGAAATTCTCTCACAATCGTAAACCATCTGCTTCGCAGAGCAGCTTATTCCTGCAGGGTGAATTAAAAGAAAACCATATGAATCAATATCAAACTAAATTTAATTTTAAATACTCTACGTTATTCTGCTCTATTCAAGTATTTCTTTCCCTAAAACTCAAGCAGCAACTACACCTCCCAACTCCAAAACAACTCTCTCCCTTACGCACATTTTTTTCCCATAGCAAACGTGACGGCGAAAACCGTAAGTTCCCAAATAAAAGCGCAAATCATACGGGTGAAATTTAAACTGAGTTTAAGTAGCAAACTTGCTTGTGTTATTTTCCCTGTGTCTATTTTAGTTGGGTTACACTTGCACCTTTCATTTTCTGACTAATTCATTACTACTGTGTGTGCTGTTTGGCAGTGAATATTATATCCAACAAAATGTATATCATAATCCTATCAATTAAAGAATAAAATTAATATGTAAGTTGTAAAATTGGCATTTTGCATAAATAATTATATGAAGGTCTTAAATCTAGGGTGCTCTGATCTATCCATTTAAAGGCATCCATGGACTTACATCCAACTTTCGTCCTGGAAGAAGATGTAAGTCATGGGTATCAGACTCCAGTCTTGGGAGGCCGGAGCCCTGCACATTTTTGGGTTTCCCCTCATTTAACACACCTGATTCAACTCCTTGTGCTAATTACCACGTCACTCTTGAGCTGAATCATTTGTGGTGGAACAGGGAAAGAACTAAGCTACACAGGGCTGCGGCCCCCCAGGACTGCAGTTTGACACCCCTGACGTAAATCAATCTAAACACATCTCAGTCATCATCAGGGAGAAGTGAAATATACTGTATAACGTAAGATACAATATCACACACATTTAAACCAAAACACTACAGTGGCAGCACAATCACTTTGTTTTGGTTCTTGCCACACGTGGTGAAATCAATCCGCTAACATCCATTACATCTGCTTCAAACATCTCCATTATTTTATTCAGGCTCTTGAGGGACGTAAGTACGATCAAATGTTACACAACGGATGCCTTTACTCTGGTCAGGGTTGTGGGGTAGGCCTGGGGCCTATCACACCACAGGCACTATAGGGTACGAGGTTGGGCTACACCTGAGTGGAAAACCAGTCCATCTCAGGGCTTATACACACAATCATACATTATAGGCAGTTTAAAGACACCAGGTAACTTAACGGCACGTCTTTGGACTGAAGAAATTAACCAGGGGACACCTGTAGGACAGCATGCCAACATCATACATGCAGAGCAGAGGTGGGATTCAAACCCACAATCCTCAAGGTGTCAGGCCACACTTAGACAGTGACCTGCCATGTCAATGCTATGCAGCAGTGATAACTGTGAATGGACAACTACGAGAAAGAAACAATGAAACTGTTCATCCCTCCATCCGGATGAATCTGGCAACCTTGAGCAGCAAGTATATATATATATAAATATATATAAGAAATCATGAGTAGAATGAATCACCACTTAAGCCATGATGAAGGTTGGCACTGACAATATGACAGAGCCATTACTGTCGCAGCCCTGATGTGTGAGTGCGACCCTGAGGCAGGCTTATCCTGGGGAGGGAAAGGCAGATGTTCCTCCACAGCCCCGGCAGAAAGCGGACAGCTCCGATCCGCCTCCATCATCGCAGCCCGCGGAGCCGCTCCCTGTCACGTCGGGTCACTCGTCCCCGGGAGCTGTTCTGTTGACTGTAGCAGTTAGAGCTCCTGAGCATGGCTTTATGACTGCTGTCTTCCCAAGCCTCCTTACGGCAGAGCGCTGATGTAAAAGGTCACTGCTCTCTTTGTGAACTCATTTGCTGACCTTGAGGACATGTGAGTCTCTGTACACGGCAGATTTGAATAGCGCTGTTACATTAGGCTACACCGGACGCTGGCCTACAGAGCCCCACCCACGGAGAAGAATGTGTGTCTCCATCCTGTCCATAAAGGACTGGCTGAATATCCAGGACTTAGCTGGGGGTTACATACCGTGTTCTCCGTGTTCTTCATCCATACAGCGTGCTTATATGTGCGTCAGCTGGAAGATCAGGTGAAATTCTGCTCTCGTCTTAAGCCGACGCCACATGTTCTTTGAACAAGGTCACTTGCTTTGAAGGTCCTGTGTTTTACAAACAGACAGCAGCTGGTCACTGTAATAATTCCTGCATATCCCTATGAGAGGTGAGTCGGTGCTGCTCGGGACACAATCCAAGCTTTATGCTTCAGCGCGTTGACCCAAAAATAACCCACGTGAAATACACACTTAGGATATTTATGGATATGGGATTTTTATTTAGTTTTTCTCTCAAAATATAGCATGCAAATGACGTGATAAAAACACAGTAGAATATTACGCTTGCTGTTTGAGTTTTCGATTTCAAAATAAAGCACAAAGACAACTTCATTTGAGTTCACATTGGCTGTCAAGCAGACACAAGGGGAACAAAGGAAAGAGACGAGCCTATTGAACGTCAAATCATTCCTGAATTTTTCTCTATGAGGCAAGAAACGCAATGGTGTTAATGTTAATATCGTTATCATACCCCACTATGTATGCACCCCGTGTGCATGTCATTCTGGATATGATAGTTTCGGGAAATGCTTCACGTGAATTTCACCGATTAACGCAGGACCTACCATTACACACTTCCAGTTCCAGTTCTCTCTCACGTGAACTACCTTCGCAGATAAGCAGATGATCATGGTGCTGTGCTGCAGAATAATGGTCATCATTCTGGAGGCTCCGTGATACATTAGCATTCCGTAAAATCAGCCGAGGGGAGGAAAAACTCTCCTCCCACAACGATCTGGCTGGAGAGAGAGGGAGCAGGAGCGGCGCGCCAGCTCATTCATGTTGAATCAAAGTGATGCGCCAATCCTGCTTGGGCTGGCACTAATGTACGCTTTGTCTCACCCACGTCCCCTGGTTCCTAAGAAAGGTTGGCGATCGCAGTGTGCGAACGGGAAACAGAGCGCAGCCAAACACCACCAAACGCATGTAGCGCTTTGCCGGAGCGCGTCGCCTGCTTCTTGCTGACAGCGAGTCCGTTGTATCTTTCGCACGCTGGTACCATTAGCAGGGATGTGACGCCGTAAGCGACGCTTCTGCCACGGGAAACTTCATTCGCTACAAATGGGGAGCTGAGAGCCTTTTTGGAGCGGAGGAAAGGAAGTTATTGAGGAAAAGTTGTGCGAAAATGTCTGTGAAATCCAGCGCGATTTCGCTCAATGACACGGATGGCCAAGACATGATGGATTTCCCTGAAGTTAAAAAACATATGAACTTAGTTCTCTTCGGTCTGTCCATTGTCATTGCCTTCGTTACTTTGGTGGGAGGCGTGTGTTCCCTCATATTTTTGCTCAAGATGCGGCGAAAGACGCCGCTTTCTCTCATAGTGGCTTCCATGTCCATTGACGACCTGATCAGCGTCATCCCGGTGTCGCTCTTCATCCTGGGTCAGTGGCAGGGGCACAGCGCCGGGAGCGCGTCCTGCACGCTGTCCGCTCTCCTCTACGTATTCCAGGGTGTGTCCAGCAACATGAAAGCCTCTCTGATTGTCGCCTACACTTTCTGCGTTACACGGCGCTTCACAGTGTTTCGATGTGCCCGAAGACCGCTGATCGTATCTTGTGCGATAGCTGCGGTGTGGCTCGCCAGCCTGGCAGTCAGCCTCCTGCCCGTGTGCGGCTGGGGATCCTTCTCGCAGACATCTCTGGGATGCTTTGCGGAGGGCACCGGTTCTTACGCGTTGCTCCTTTTCGTGCTGTACTCGCTGAGCTTTTGCGGCTTTGTCGCATTTTCCATCCCTCTTACCCACCAGCTGCTGTGTTCCGGGGAACCTCAGAAGGCGTTTCACCCTAACTACGGGGGATCGGCGGCAGACGGATCGGCCCCGCTCTGCCACATCCCCTCTCTGTCCCGAGATAGCCTGGAGAAAAGTTTTGAGACTTTCAGCGAGATTAATTCTGAGCCTGTCGGTTTGAAAAGCCACACCTGTCCGACGTCTGCGGCTCAAAACAGCGGAAAGGAGGCAGCGCTAAACTCCGCAAACTCTACTCAGGTGTTTGCGCAAATGCGCTTTTCCTTGATCATGGCGATGGTTCGCATCCTTTTGTGGATGCCGATGATGGTGAGTAACCTGCTCAGTGCTGTGGATGCCAGTAAATAACAGACTCCCTCGGCCTCTATTATTTATTGAAATTATACAACCAATTAATCGTGCAGAAACCCCATGTTCAATTCCGTGGGTTAACGCACTAAAACCTGAGTTTTCATTCTTCTGGCAATTGTAACAAATAGGCTACTTTAGGAAATATTATTTTGAAACTGGAAAGTGGTCAAGATATTAAAAAATATAATGCAGAACTGTCACCCCAACACAACATGTATGAATTTCTTAATTTTACTGTCTGCCAGTGTTCTGTCGATATATGCTGCCTTGTCGAAAAATGCTACCGTAGTGCTAATCGATAGCCCTAACCCCAACCCCCCTCTAAATCCCTTACCTTAACCCTAACCCTAACCCCTAAAACCTAACCCTGCACATGCGCAGAAAGGCTCGATAGCACGTCTCGATAGGTAGTATTTTATGACAGAACACCTGGTCTTGCAGTGACTCCCCTAACCTGCCGTTCATCCCGTTCGCAGGTACAGATCCTAGTGAGTCACGTTGTTCAGGTACGGAGCCCCGTCTTTGAGACACCCAGCTTCTTCCTGACCTTACTGTCTGCCACGATCACGCCGCTTTTTTTCTTATCCAAACGCTGGGTTCATCTGCCCTGCGGATGTTTCATCAACTGTCGGCGAGACGTAGCCCCGCAGCCGTCTGCTGGTACGTTAACGGGGATATTTCTTATTTAAAATGTCACTTCCCTGTTAGGTTGCCTCTGCTGACTGTGTTGCTTTGCCTGATTATTTATTTAGTTATTTAGGTAGTTCTTGAGCTCTATATATTATTTAGTGATGTATTCGAAATATTAATGGATCTCAAGAAATCCGCTCTTAATTCTGGAGCCGTATAGGCCGTATATTATTTAATGATGTATTTAAAAACATTGATGGACCTCAAGGAATCTGCTCTTAGTTCTGAAGCTTTATATTTAATTTAAAAGCATCGATGAATTACAAGGAACCAACTTTTAGTTGGACATTTTATCATCTATACAGATGAAAATATGTGTCATAAAACTTGTCATAAAATATATGACCCTGCATAATGACAAGCCAGTATAGAAGACGGATGGCAGGATAGATGGATGCATGGCGAACTTATGCTTCATTATTTAACTGATCTGTCTTATTAACTCTTTTACAGGGAAAAAGAGAGGGTTTGAATTTAACTTGTCATTCCAGCAAGGTTATGGAATTTATAAGATTTCCCAGGCAAAGCTGCCCACTGTGGAAACAGCTCCATACCACAGCTTGTTTGACTATGAGTGCAGTGAGAGTAGACCTACTGCAGCACGAGCTGGGCCCATTTCGAGGGGCACAAGTGATGAGTTCAGGATCGCAGCTGCTGAGGACAGCTCTCAGGACTGGGACAGGCGGGCGGTTGCCCCCCGCGAGGCCTCGTCGGACGGCCATGGGCCCGGTCCTGGCTCGGTCCCCGGGCCGACTGCAGAGGACCACAACCTAGACAACTCATCGGTGTTCGAGGGCCCGGAACGAAGGCTCTCCCACGGGGGAAGCCGGAAGATGGAGCTGAGCGACTGGGAGTGGTGCCGGAGCAAGTCGGAGAGGACGCCGCGGCAGGTGCGTGGCCTGCAGGTGGGGGTCTGTCCTTCCCTGGTGATTTCAGCTTTGCGCACAGCCCAGTGCCAATTATGCAGACCCAGATAAGATACCATAGCAGCTTGTTAAGCCGCAGCACAGCAATAATGGGAGACGGGAGCGGGAAAGGCAGGTTTCTGGCACGGCGCCTTCGCTTGCAGGGCTCACGTGGGAAGGGACAGCGGCCAGTATCCAGGCCTGGTGCCTTTGCCTGGGCCCAGCACCTGCTCACCAGTGCCGGAGTAATGAGCGGCGGGGAGTGACAGGCTGCTCTGAGCGCTCGCGTGAGCTGAGCTGCTTGCATATGTGTTCGTCAGGCCGCGCTAGACAAAACGCACACAGTCAGGTGTTAATCCTGTGCCCACTCGAGTCAAAAGGATACTGTTAATGTATACTAAAATGCAGGAATGGAAACTATGTCATCAAACACAGTCATTATTATATATACATACATTTGCATTTATTTACATTTATTTGTCAGATGCAAAGCAATGTACAAGCGAGGCAGATAATATATATAATGTATTTAAATATATATAAATGCAAGAATTTGCAGGGCAGAGCTGTGGAGCTGAGATCTCTGCCAGACTCAGGCAGCAGGTCCATCACAGCCCCCGCGGCGATCTCCCAATCCCATTTGCGGTTGCGTCCTTCCTTTAGTCCAGTGTGGAAGTGGCTTGCTGTTATCATTAAATTAGACCCTCTTCATGTTTCTGTAAGGCTCTGATTGAATAGCTGATTCAATAAACGGTGCTCATGAATCAACCAGTGGCGTCATCGGTTTCGGTCAGACACGCACACACACAAACCTGTACTCATATCTTTATGAGGACTGTCTATTAATTTATATGGATAAAATAATCCCAGCAATGACACCCTTAACCCCTACCCAGCCCTAACCTTAACCATAAGTAACCAAACAAGTCTTTTCGCATTTTTAGTTTTTTGATTGCAGTCATAGATTTTTATAAAAATTAGTTTCCGCTTGTGAGGATTGAAAAAATAGTCTCCACGTCATCAAAATAACAGATTTTTACCACATTGTGGGGATATTTGGTCCCCACAATGTAATTTATACCTGGACCACACACACACACACACACACATAAACCCAAAATCTGACACGATTCTTAGGATGCTCTGTTTTTCAGAGCACAGTGCTGTTGCCCTTGGCTCATGCTGCTGCTGGCAGGGCCTTGGTCATAAACACACTGGCCTCGTGAACCATTGGAGTAGTGAGGTCCTGGGTTCAGGATGTTGTGTGAATGGACACCGTGCTTGCAGGAGGTCATGCTGGTTTAAAATAGGGCCATAAGTCATGTGAGCGCTTTGACCCTGCATCTCGGGCTCAGTCAGTGGTAGGACAGCTCTTCTCTGCTCCATGTCCGCTACGCTGGTCACTGACCCTGAAAGAGTCCCGCGTCCTTTCTGTCTTTCTGTGAACCGTGAATCGCAAGGTGCAGGTGGTCACACTGCTCATTAACTTGTCCCCACACCAGATACATTTTTGGAGCCAGCTTATTTTGGGATATAGTTTTTAAAGTCTATTTATGTCTATATCTGGTCACATTTTAGAGCACCGCCCTGCTGTTTGATAAGGGCATATATTGTTCTTACTCCACAGAGGTCCAGCGGTGGCCTGTCCATTCCACTGTGTGCCTTCCAGGGCACCGTGTCCCTCCACGCCCCCACAGGGAAGACCCTGTCCCTGTCTACTTATGAGGTCAGTAGTGACGGACTCAAAATATCCCCAAACAACAAGAAGGTGGAGGTGTACCGATCCAAGTCTGTGGGTCACGAGCCCCGGACAGAGGAGCCAGCTGACGGCACCACCGGCGACACCAATGTGAAGATCCACCTGGAGGTGCTGGAGATCTGCGACAACGAAGAGGCTATGGACAGCGTCTCCATCATCTCCAACATCAGCCAGTCGTCAGCACACGCCCGGTCACCGTCGCTGCGCTACTCCCGCCGGGAGAACCGCTTCGTGTCCTGTGACTTGGGCGAGACGGCGTCCTACTCTTTGCTCATCCCCACCAGCAACCACGACTCCGACATCAACATCCACATCCCCGACACGGTGGAGGCTCACCGCAGGAACAGCCGGAAGCAGCACCAGGAGAGGTCCGGGTACCAGGAGGAGATCCAGCTGCTGAATGAGGCCTACAGGAGGCAGGAGGGGGCCCGGGACACCTAGAGGCCCCTGGGGGGGCAGGGGTGGGGGGAAACCACAAATGTTACAATGGTTGCACAAGTACAGGGGGACATCTTCAATCTCTCAACCTGTATAGTTGCNTAATCCCAGCAATGACACCCTTAACCCCTACCCAGCCCTAACCTTAACCATAAGTAACCAAACAAGTCTTTTCGCATTTTTAGTTTTTTGATTGCAGTCATAGATTTTTATAAAAATTAGTTTCCGCTTGTGGGGATTGAAAAAATAGTCTCCACGTCATCAAAATAACAGATTTTTACCACATTGTGGGGATATTTGGTCCCCACAATGTAATTTATACCTGGACCACACACACACACACACACACATAAACCCAAAATCTGACACGATTCTTAGGATGCTCTGTTTTTCAGAGCACAGTGCTGTTGCCCTTGGCTCATGCTGCTGCTGGCAGGGCCTTGGTCATAAACACACTGGCCTCGTGAACCATTGGAGTAGTGAGGTCCTGGGTTCAGGATGTTGTGTGAATGGACACCGTGCTTGCAGGAGGTCATGCTGGTTTAAAATAGGGCCATAAGTCATGTGAGCGCTTTGACCCTGCATCTCGGGCTCAGTCAGTGGTAGGACAGCTCTTCTCTGCTCCATGTCCGCTACGCTGGTCACTGACCCTGAAAGAGTCCCGCGTCCTTTCTGTCTTTCTGTGAACCGTGAATCGCAAGGTGCAGGTGGTCACACTGCTCATTAACTTGTCCCCACACCAGATACATTTTTGGAGCCAGCTTATTTTGGGATATAGTTTTTAAAGTCTATTTATGTCTATATCTGGTCACATTTTAGAGCACCGCCCTGCTGTTTGATAAGGGCATATATTGTTCTTACTCCACAGAGGTCCAGCGGTGGCCTGTCCATTCCACTGTGTGCCTTCCAGGGCACCGTGTCCCTCCACGCCCCCACAGGGAAGACCCTGTCCCTGTCTACTTATGAGGTCAGTAGTGACGGACTCAAAATATCCCCAAACAACAAGAAGGTGGAGGTGTACCGATCCAAGTCTGTGGGTCACGAGCCCCGGACAGAGGAGCCAGCTGACGGCACCACCGGCGACACCAATGTGAAGATCCACCTGGAGGTGCTGGAGATCTGCGACAACGAAGAGGCTATGGACAGCGTCTCCATCATCTCCAACATCAGCCAGTCGTCAGCACACGCCCGGTCACCGTCGCTGCGCTACTCCCGCCGGGAGAACCGCTTCGTGTCCTGTGACTTGGGCGAGACGGCGTCCTACTCTTTGCTCATCCCCACCAGCAACCACGACTCCGACATCAACATCCACATCCCCGACACGGTGGAGGCTCACCGCAGGAACAGCCGGAAGCAGCACCAGGAGAGGTCCGGGTACCAGGAGGAGATCCAGCTGCTGAATGAGGCCTACAGGAGGCAGGAGGGGGCCCGGGACACCTAGAGGCCCCTGGGGGGGCAGGGGTGGGGGGGGGGGCACCGATGGTGGGCTGGGGAAACTGTGACACTGCACAGCTGTGGCTATGGAAACCTACTTTGGGTAGGAAGAGAATGTTAAAAGGGAGGAAAGTAGACAGGAAGAGAACTGAGTGAGAAGAGAAAGACGAGTGGAGCTTCAGGCCCCATTGAGAAACCCTGTTCGGACACACAGTGGTGCGAGGTCTCCTGTGAATGTCACCCAGATTCAGGCGCAGTGACTCACTGGAAAGCACCGTCTGAGTCATTGTACGTGTGTGTGAAAGTATAACTGCCGGGGAAGGGGCCTTGGCTGACGGCCCAGTGCTCGTTAGCACCACTACGATGGTTTACATGCAGGGATAATCACCACAGAGTGAGTGTACAGGTAGCTCGTGTGTGTCCGTCACCGTGCGTGTTTGTGTTTGTGTGTGCAGATGCTGGCTTAGCCTAATATAGCATGCACACCCACAGCTTTTGGGAACAGATACAAAAAAACAGGTTATTTATTTCAGAAAGACCATTTATATGAGTGAGTTTGAGCCTGTTCTTTATTGCTGCAGGTGTTTAAAAGGAATGTTAATTTTGAAACCACTTGTAATTCCCCTTTTGTTTCATTCCATTTGACACAGTATGTAATCATAAGTGAGACCCAGGTCATTGTTACATTTAACAGATGCATAATTTATCAGAGTGGTTGCAGAATATTCACAGAGTATGTTACAAATTCGACAAGGGCAAATGATTGTAAGTTTCAGCACTGCAATAACGTAAGCACAGATGTATTCTCATGCACACCACTTACTAAAGTATCAGGCATACAATTAATTAAAAAGCCATTTTTTCCTCATAAAAATGGTTCTCTGTGTGATTTGGCTTTTTAGGAGGTGAATTCGATAACATTAGAAATAGTTCTTGTTTACTATTTGCAGTGTGCCAGTTCCTCAGTTTGTCAAAGTGTATTTGTCTCTCACAAAGAACAAAATGTTCTCATTAAAAATGTACATTCATATGCAGAAAACGCTCTTCTCCCATATGCCTTAGTTTCAGGTTTTATTCTCAGAGCTCCAGACTAAAAGCTAATATCAACCGCATCATCCGACAGCAGCAGACAACAAATCAGCTTTAATGCTTGAGCATATTGCTGGTCTACTTCATACAGCAAAGTGCGTCAGCAATTTAAACCTTTTTAAAAAACAACACCAATCTCTGAAAAATGGCTAAATCCGTCACCCATTACTGCATTGCCCAATCATATCAGCTCTTATATTTGTCCAGCCAATCGCATAACCAGCTTACTTCATCCAACCAGTTACATCCCTAAGAACAGGCACGTGATGAAAATCCTGTGACGTGATTGGATCACACAGCACTCTGTCCCCGTTCCTTCCCTTATGAGTGGGAGAATAAGGTGTCCTTCGGTCACAGTGCATCCCTCCCTGCAGAGGACTCAGTCCTTGGGCGTCTAACCTTCATAGCTGCTGATTTATCTGAGTCGTGTTCGCTGCCTGTGGGCCTCGTGGACACGTCCCAGATGGGGCCCAGTCGCGAACCTCAACCTGCGTNGGGGGGGGGGGGGGGGGGGACTGGGACCATATTAGAGACTCTCATAATCTCTGTTATCAAGTGAGTTTGATACGTGCTGAGTGGTGTGGATGGCCACGTGTGTGTCAGGGCTCTTGTTCATATCAGGAGAAACACTCTAAAATACTGAAGCTCTGCTGTCACATGATCTGGCAAGGTGACAGTTTATCAGGGGGCCTAGGATTTATGGTTACGCCCATCTCCAGGGCTGAAATGAGCGCTGTAAAGGAGGAATGTGTACGTATAGCAGGCTAGGCTTTCCACAGAGGCAGATAGGCACAAAGACGGGCAGTGAGCCACAGCTGTGCTGGGGTACAGTGATGACAGCAGACAAAGCCCCACACAGTCAAACACAGGCAACAAAGGGAGCCCTCAGTCACTGGCCGGGAGCAGCACACCCAGCCCTGGCGCTGCTGTCAAGGTGTTAGCTGCTCACGCTTCCTGCGATAAATGGAGACCGCAGCCAGTCGCAAACAGCCAAACACGAGTTACCCACACGAAAGAAATGAAAAAAATGACATTTTTTGGGAAACAAGTGAAGGCAATGAGAAGCAGCTCAGGGAAAAGCAACGGGTGATCCTGTTTACGGCCGTCGCACAGCCAAGGCGCAGCTACACAAAGGAAAGGCGCCGTGTGGGTAGACCTACCTGGCTGTCCATCAGTATCTCCATGGAGATGCACCCTTAGGCAGCCGTTTCCTACAAGTGGGCTCTCAGGTTGTCAGGTTGTCTTGTTCCTAGCAGAGGAGAACTGGAGGTAAAAGTTACTCCACTACTCGCTCCGTTTTATTTAATGAGCCCATACATCAGTGAATATGTTTTGTATTCCCTCTAATGCCTCTGTATTTTTACAGGAGTGATTCTCCTCTCTGAGCTGGGCATGTTATATGGAGTTAATTACCATTCTCCTTTTAGCTCTGTACAGCCCTGCTTTCCAAATTCTCTATTATTTTGAAAATCAGCCGTGGTCTGCCGGTATAGGACCAAATTTTTAACGCAGTGCAACTCCAACTGAACATTACTTAGGACTTTAATGGGAGTGAAACAGTGCTTTTTTAGTGGGGCTGAGTCCCTTGCGGAGCAAAGTCTTCACGGTTCTCAGAACACGGCTGGAGTGCTGATTGAGTGCATATCATGCTGGGGTTTTGTACAGCTCTACATTACTGCTCTGGTTATTGCTTCCTACACTTGAAATAAACGTTCCCACAGGAATACTGGTTATCTCTTCTGGGCTTCAGTGATCTACACAAACAATTTGTGGTGTTTATTACCGCACTGCCCATTTTCTTCTTTTTTGGTCTGTGACATTTCCTGAATTTTCTAGAAAAGATAACTTTTTAAAATATTTTTTAGTACATACTTATTTAGCATCAGTTTTAGGACAGTGTTTAGATTAGATTGTGTAGTACAACGGCTCGGCAGGTAGCAGTAATGACCGTATTATTGTTTGATCCAATCAAGTACACACACCCAGGCAGTCCAACCAGCCATCACAGGAAAGACTAACATGGAAGTGATGCGATGAAATGTAATGTTATTCATTTATCGTTAACCGTTTCTTCGGTGCAGGATCAAGGTGAGCATGGAGCTGACCGCCTTTATTTGACTCATTCCCCAGTCTTAGCTGACTGTCAACACCCGCAGTTTAACATAGTCTATATAATAACGAAGCTGTTAAATTGTAAAATCAAGCAAGATACTACAGGCAACAGAGGACAAAGTTTATGTTACTTCAGATATTCTCTTATATAATGCCTATTTTTTTAATGTATTTGACCTTAATCCACATTATTTATTAAAAGATTACGGATCTGGGGTAGTGGATGCTTTTTAAAATAAAATATGATGAAATTATAGTAATGAAAGATAAACGCCGTCCCGACTTATCCTGATCCTGCAGACAAAGGGGCTTTACTACACACTGCTCGTGCTTTTCAGCTTTCTCTGACGTACACCATTCCTAAAATGTTCATTCCAGCTCCATGTCATCGCACGTTTACCTGTCTACAACTCGATGGGCTGAAAATAAATACATAATGAAACTGTACATGAGCTTAGAAACGTAGTAACTTCCAATATGTAGCATTCATAGAATAGTATTTTCCTGATGTCTAAGAAACAGGATCAGTGCGTGTTATTTAACTCGACTGAGCAATTTAGCTTACTGGCTTGAATGGGTTTCATAAAACGACTAGACCAATCAGAACCAACGACATTCGTTATTCCTTTGCGGAAGTCACAGAGACGAACTGACGTCATTTTCATGCGACCTCGGTATGTGTACTACAGTCGGCGCAAGTTGCCAGATTGTGGAATTGATTCTATGTAAATAACAGTTGTTAACATAAATTAGATCATTTTACGGAGATTTACTTATATGCATGGGATTCACAAGCACACCTTTGTTTATCCAATTCACTAGGTGTTGATAGCTAGCTTGCTAGCTGACGAGTTAGCCAGGTTGGTTGGTTAACACGACACCGGCTTTTCTGCTGCAAGCAGATTCATCTTTGACGACAGGGACCGTGTGACGGAGGGCGGCATGAGTTATGGGTACGGCTATAGGGGTGGCCGAAGAGGAGACCGTGACTATGGAGGTGGGAGCGACGAAAGGTGGGAGCGGGGAGCCGGGTCGAGCGGCAGCGGATACCCCAGGACTGGGAACTGGGACTCCCGGGAGGACGACGGACAGGGGCGAGGACGGGGACGTGGAGGGGGCTCACGGGGACGCCACCCCGCACATCTGAAAGGCCGAGAGATCGGTCTGTGGTACGCGAAAAGGGGAGGCATCAAGAGAAAAGAGGAGGAGAGAAAGTCGGCAAGTATCGATCGCCGGTTTGTAATGTAGTTGGTTAAGGAGCCCAGCTAAGCTGCCTGGTTGTATTGGACCATGCGGATTCCTTTGCGTGTCTCAACGCCCCTGTGCATTGTGTAGAGAGCTGTCGTCCAAATGGACGAGTCGAGGGAGCAGCACATCACCAAACTGCTGAACACGGTCCAGAGGGAGCCGTCCGGATCTGCAAAGTCTAGTCACGACTCGGCATCTCAGAGCTGGCGATCGGCACCAAACCCCAACCAGCACAGGTGCAGTACCCAGGCCACTGTCATGGCCTTGTCATGAGAGGAATCCAACAGAAATAAACACCTAAGATAATCCCTTAATGCACTGGTGCAGTAGTGTGGTCCCTGGTAAATATGTTGCTAATACCGAGATTCACGCTACTTCTGTTGTGAGAAAAAAATCAAGTGTAAGTGCATCTCTTTCCTTAGACATGTTCTCAGCAGAAGTATCTCTTTGTGTTTAGCTACTTTGATGGCGAGGAAGTGCCAAAGGAGGACCCTAAAATGGAAGTGAAGGAGGTGAAGGAGGAGATGAAAGATGAAAGAGACTTGCAGTATTTGTTCCAGGATCTGGTCCGAGACATTGCTGTTGACCAGGAACTGAAGAGAGACCTGCACAAGAAAAGAACTGACACAAAGTACCTGGATATGATGGTGAGATGATGTTGCTGTTGGTTCGACGTCCCTCACAAAAGCAGTGTTTCCTGTGAGAATGTGTTGTTTGGCCAGCTTTACAGCTGAGTAGTGCCGGCCCTTTGTGGAACTGTACTAGGTCCATCAGCTATATTAGTGTTGTACCGTGCAGGAGCACTGTGCTCTGTTTAAGCTCTTGCAGATGCATAATTGCTGTAGTTTGTTTTATTTAATTTGTTTCTCTTTTTTCAGAAATTCAGAGAGAAGCTTCCGTCATATGGAATGAAAGAGGTAAGGCTTTGAAAATACTCAGTACTCAAATATGTCAGAATATATACTTTGCTAAAATTTCTGCCTTTAATCAAGGTTGGTAGGAAATGTGAAGGGGTTGACTGGCGCCGGTAGAATGTTGGACCTTGAATATCAGAATCCCATAGTGTGTCTGTCGGTAGTTTCTGACATGCAGGAGCTGCTGATATATGGGCCCTGAACTCTTCTGCTCAGGGCATGTTGGAAAGATGATGGAGAGCAGCTATGTCATCCCAGTAGCCGTCTGCTTGGAAGCTGCTCATGCTGACCCATGTGCCCTGTTGGTAGGAGCTGGTCCAATTGATCCGGGCCAACCAGGTTCTGGTGGTTAGTGGGGAGACTGGCTGTGGAAAGACCACTCAGGTGACCCAGTTCATCCTTGATGACAGCATCGAGCGAGGAATGGGCTCCGTGTGCAGGGTGGTGTGCACCCAGCCCCGCCGCATCAGCGCCATCTCAGTATGTAATGCCCTCTGGGGGGGGGATTGTGTGTAAACTGGCAAACTACTGTGGGAAACATTAACACATGTTACTTTTGCAGGTGGCCGAGAGGGTGTCAGCTGAGAGGGCTGAAACAGTGGGGGGGGGGAATTCCTGTGGGTACCAGATCCGGCTGCAGAGGTACGCATCTCTTGGTGGGGGAACGGTAGACTTAGAAACCTGGTAGAGACACTTCCATCCTTACCGTTGTCTGGTTGACAACTTTAAGATGGGTGCTGTGTATGACGTCATCTCCTTTTGGTATCGGGGATTAGGTGTGATGCTGCACTGAGGCCAAAGATACTGTGATCCTGTTTATGGCCTGTAATTATGTGTGTGTGTGTGTGTGTGTGCTGAGTGCACTTTGTGTGTGAGATGAGCAGTGGTGGTTTTCACCCTGCCACCTGACCCCATGTGACCTTGTGGACACACACACACCCCCCACTGAGTGGTATCCGTGACCTTTAACCCCATCACATGGCACTCAGCCCCATGACATAGGCTGGGGTGAGGTGATGATGAGGCTGAGAAGCGTGTTTGTGGGCTATGAAGTGAGCGCAGGCTTTAGAGGGGAAGATGGATGTGTGGGGATTGTCTGGCAGTTCTCTCCGCTGGTATAGGCATGTATGATCAGTGTTAGATAAGCGGGATTGGCACGGAGCTGCTGTACAGCAGTGGCCGAGGCAGCCCTCTCCCAACCGGCAGAGCCGAGCCCAGCTGAATGTAAGACCTTCACCATTTATTTATTTATGTTCATTTGTTTCTGCTCCCACCTTCTCCCGCCCCCACTCTCCATCCTCCAGCCGGTTACCACGGAAACAGGGCTCCGTGCTGTATTGTACCACGGGCATTATTCTTCAGTGGCTTCGCTCCGATCCGTGAGTATACCCCCCCCCCCCCCCCCCACACACACACACACACACACACACACACACACACACACATACACCTTCCTGTACTACTCTAGCTTGTTTCTCCTGGGAGGGAGGCCGTAGCATCTGTATGCCTGGGAGCTGCCACAGGGGGCGCTGTGGCCCCTGGGTTAGCATGAGCTTCAGCCTTGGTCACCAATCAGGTGCCCGTGAGGAGCATCAGGCAAGGCGTCTGCTTGCACATCCTCCGTTTTTAACTGCGTCCTAAATCTAACGCACCCTTCTTGTCACGCTTCGAAGTATCACATCTCGGCCTTTCAGCTAATATCAGGTTATAATACCTGTTCTTATCGGATGTGTCCCAAATGTGGGGGCTGCATATTAAGTGGATTTTTCAAACCGGGAGTCGGAAGAGGCGCTTGCCCCCACCTGCCCCACACATCGAACAAATATCGCGGTGCCTATGAGAGCCGTGCCCCTTCATTTACTATTCAATCTTGCTGTGTTAGCGTAACCACGCTTGTAAATGAGAATAAATAATCCTAGGCCCCTAGAGGCAGTGCTGGCCAATCAGAGCCGTTTGACCCCAGACTCTTAGTGTCAAGTGAGGGTGTCCCACTTGAAGCCTGTACTCATGCGGGTAGGTGGGGGGGAGGATCTTTTGTTCCTGATGTTTTTGCCGACTCCCAGTGTGCCTGTAATATCATTCATAATCAGAAGCAGTCTGCTAGTGAATTTTTCTAAGCGCTTGTCTCATCAGTCTTTTTTTGTTTGTTTATGATCTTACTAGCGCTACATTAAATTGCACACACTGGTTGTTTCATGACAGGCTGCGGGTTGAAGTTTCGGTCTATGAATAGATTTAAAAAAAAAAAAGATGGCGAGGATCTGAACGGGGCCCAGCGGGATGAGGGCAGGGGGCTCTGCCTGTCAGGGCTTTCATGAAAACATCTGAAGCCAATGAATGATTGATGACATCCCAGCTCTCATTTGGCGGCTTCAGAGTTTAACCTCATGATGCGCAGACGTGGGTAAGGGAGGGAGGTAGAATTGTTCTTAAAAAAGCTGTTTTGGGAAATGATTTTATTCCTGTCTCCAGGCACCTATCAAGCGTCAGTCACCTCGTCCTCGATGAGATTCACGAACGGAACCTGCAGTCCGACGTCCTGCTCGGCATAGTGAAGGATCTCCTTCGCCACAGAGATGACATCAAGATAATCCTCATGAGCGCTACCCTCAATGCAGAGAAGTTCTCCAAGTACTTTGGTGAGATACGGCGCCTCCTTGTGGTGGCCGCTCAGGGTGTGTGCGTGCTCACGACCGAGCTGCTCTATACGCATAGCGAGTGTGTGGGCCTCTGACTTTTATCTGATCTGACGCTAATCACACTAATTAGCCAGGAATTTTGCCATCCCTGGAAATGACTGTTACCCAATCATTTCATCTATAAAGGGTGGGCTCTATGTTGGAAGACCAGAATAGCATATCTGTAGGCATCCTGTAGGCAGGGAAGATACCATCTTAAGATGAGGGAAGGTGAGACATTCTGAGTTAAGGAAGTATCTTCATCTTTGCCTCTTTAGATAAATGTCCGATGATCCACATCCCTGGCTTCACCTACCCGGTGACAGAGTATCTCCTGGAGGATGTGGTAGAGATGCTCAGGTGAGTTTACCTGCCCAGATTCAGGTGGGGCTGCTTCTGAAATGCGACGGTCACCGTGGACCCTTTAGGGCATCCCCAGAAGCCTCTCTGATTGGATAATCAGAGGTCAAGGGTGATTGGCTGTTCACGTTGGCAGGTACCGGCCTCAGTCGCAGGACCGACGGCCCCGGTGGAAGCGGCGCTTCATGCAGGGCCAGATGTTCCAGCAGGAGAAGGAGCAGAAGGAGGAGGAGTATCGGGAGAGCTGGCCGTGCTACGCCCGCACGCTGAGGGATAGGTGAGCTGAGGGCCGGGCTAGGGGCCGCGGCTGAGGGCCGGGCTAGGGGCCGCGGCTGAGGGCCGGGCTAGGGGCCGCGGCTGAGGGCCGGGCTAGAGGCCTGATTGTAGGCGTCTGATGAAGTATTCCTTTTGTTAGATTATTTGGCTGGTATGTAATTTAGGCCTGTTTACAGGACATCTCTGGTGCTGTGTAGTACAGAGTTGGATCTGAGACTCGCAGGTATTTAGAGACATCTGTTCTGGGCACCCTGCAGGTACTCTGACAGCACCATTGATGTCCTGGAGATGATGGACAACGACGACAAAATCGACCTGGCGCTGATAGTGCAACTGATCAGACACATCGTGCTGCATGAAGATGTGAGTCCTTCTGGTCCGATTCCTGTCGGCATCGCTTCCTGGATGCTTCCATCTCGGTTCCCCCGTCGTGTGAGAGTCTGCAGTTCTGCATCAGGGGCCCGTTTTGATTTTCACTGGTGCTGTTTCGTAAGAGGCCCCTCCCACTTCCTGCTGTCATGGCACATGGGGGGGGGGGGGGTTATCACCATCGTCAAGGTTCCAGCAGGAGAGATTAAAGACGAGATTAATTACTGTTAATTAGCAGTATGGTTTGGGAGAACTGAGCTCCTGAGCTGTCTGGGTGCTTCTGCCAGAGTGAGAAAATATGAATAATGACGGTTGTGCCCCCACCCCGCCCCCCCCTTTCCTCACCACTCCATTAGGGTTTTTTTGCTAGACTAGCTGATCATCTGCATACATTTTAGTGTTATAGAAATGGGCTCATCTCCCCCTAGGCCTTGCCTCAGAAGGACTGTGAAAAACTCATTTTCTTCTAGTGGCTCATGGCTAAAAATAAGAGCAGCATCTGTAGCCTGCAGGACCGACTCCCCTGCACCTGCCCCTCGGTGGCGCTCAGTCCCTGCTGATTAGATTACAAGCCTATCATGTGGTCCGTCTTATTCGGCGCGCTTCACTCCATGCTGATTAGATTTCAGGCCTATCATGTGGTCCGTCTCATTTGGCGCACTTCACTCCGTCACTCTGCCCAGGACTGTCTCAGGGTCGCTGCTCTTTACTGGTGGTCCTGTCGTCACATTATAGCATTTCGGTGTTTCTGGGTCATTAATGCTGGTTCTGTTGTCCGCATGGTGGTCTGTATGTGTTTCAGGAAGGTGCTATCCTTGTTTTCTTACCTGGATGGGATGACATCAGTGGTTTAAATGATCTCCTCATGGCCCAGCAGATGTTTAAGTCAGGTAGATACACCTGCACACCTGTGCCGAGTTCCTGTTCGGTCCAGGTTGGCCCACCTCCTAACACCCCCTGCTGGTTCTGTTTCAGAGAACTTTATCATCATCCCGCTGCACTCCCTGATGCCGACGGTCAACCAGACCCAGGTACGTGTCCGACACCAGTCCTAACGTCCCCCATGCCATTGGCTGTCGGCTCACTCGTGGCCGCTGCCCCCTGTCTCCCCACTCAGGTGTTCAAGAGGCCCCCGCCAGGCGTGCGCAAGATCATCATCGCCACCAACATCGCCGAGACCAGGTGTGCCATCATTGTGGGGCTTCCTGTTTCAGGAGCGTGTTGAAATCTGAATGTATCACTGATCTGAGCAGATGGATTAGCTGACTGGTGTACTGCTCCGGCCCTGCCTTTAGGCTGTATATCCACTGCTTGTTAACCAACTTCTTAGTGTTAATAGATGTTCACACAAACCATGTGTGTGTCTCTGCACCTGTGACCCCATGTGACTGTGTGCCCCGCCCCCAGCATCACTATCGACGACGTGGTGTTCGTGATTGACGGCGGAAAGATTAAAGAAACACACTTCGACACCCAGAATAACATCAGCACCATGACGGCCGAGTGGGTCAGCCTGGCCAACGCAAAGCAAAGGAGGGGCCGTGCTGGCAGGTGAGTGAGCGCGAGTCAGCGCAACCCCAGCAGGTGAAGGAGCGCGAGTCAGCGCAGCCCCGTCAGGTGAAGCGCGAGTCAGCGCAGCCCCGTCAGGTGAAGAAGCGCGAGTCAGCGCAGGCCCGTCAGGTGAAGTAGCGCTAGTCAGCGCA